GATGTCAGATTGTGTCCTGTCAATTTGTAGGGTGTGGTTTCAGTGTTTATCATTTTGTAGGGATCATATCTCAGGATGCTGTTGAAGACTCGAGTGGCATGCGTCAGGGTTCCAAGGCTGCTCAAGCCACTTCTTTGCCAACAGGAGCTGCGCCGTCCGATGATCCGCCTGGGAAAGAATTTGATGCAGACCCAGAGCTTGCTCAAAGAATTGCAACCGTGGCTTCTTTAGAAGCACCTTTTTAAGGTCGCCTATTTAAACAAAAAAACATTATTCGCCAATACGATGTCATTAGTGGTACTTTGTTCATTTTGTAGTGCATTGACATGGCATAGTTATTTTTTGTAGACATTGTTCTTTACTTTCGTCGGGTGACTGTGGCAGGTACAGCGAGCTGCACTTGTTGCAAAGAGTGGTACCTACTTGGCTTTGATGGATCTATTCCTCTACCTTGCCCAGAAAGGCAAAGATCTTGCTGTTTGCGTTTTCGACAAGGATGACACAAATATTGTTAGCTTTCGATCGGTGATCAGAGATTTATTGCCGGAGGAAGTAGTTGACTGGGAGGACTGCTTGGATGAGGAAATCGATTTGTCAAGTGAGCATACTGCTGTGGTTGTACCTTGCCAAGCCAACTTTGAGCGGGGGGGACTTTCTGGATCTCAACCACTTCGTTCCGGTTTGGACCAGACAACAGCTTGGTGATAGTGATTTCCACCTTGCAGAACAGAGATCTCGACAGGCTTTTGCAAGACGTCAAAAAGACCACGCTGAGCGGGTGCACGAGGTTTGCTTTGATGAGGAGCATCCTGAAGACCATGCGATGTTGATGAAGTCACTGCAAAAAGAGTCAGAGCTGCTGGAGGCTGAAGCAGAATTCCTGCAAGCCATGAAGTCGCTGGATTTGGTCGCCTATCCTGTCCCCAGTGACGGGAATTGTGGTCCGTGGACTTTGGCATCGCTGTGTCGCCCAAAGCCTCCACTTGTCTCAGGGGAGGACATCAAGCAGTACGAGCTCGAGCCACGCAAGATCCGGAGGAGAATCCGCAAGCTGTGGACGGAGTTGTCAATGGATTTCACATGGCAGATCATGTTCAACATGTTTGATTTGGATGAGGACTTGCCGATTCCAGGAGCCGACCAACTGAACTCAGTTGTGAAGCGTGAGCCAGCAACGCCTCCCAAAAAGAAACAGACTGAGCCAAGGCTGGAAGTTCCCCCTTTGGCAACTCCTCCCAAGGCAGTGGCAGCATGTCGCCGTGCAGAGTTTGGTCAGCCACTGAAGAAAGATGGCCGGCTTCTTGCAGCAGGTTCTCGCGCAGCCAAGCTGCATCGCGAAGGAGACGTGCCTGTGCCAGTTGCAGATGAGCAGGACAGTGACAAAGAAGATGAGGAGGATACGGGAGCCCCCCCGCATCGCGCGCAGGCGACACAAGCGCAGCTGCCGGACATTACAGCGGAGCAGCCAAGTGCTGAAGCGGATGGCCGCCAAAGCTTACTTCTCCGAAATCGGTTTCACATGGCCAGCTTTCCAATCTGTCCACGCCAGGCCTGTCCGGGTTAGATCACTACAAAAAGTAAAACCCATACTATATAAAGTGTTGTTTTTAGCATTTTATAGAGACTGATGTCTTGCAGATCATTTTGTAGCAGCTAAGCGTTTATAAAACGAAATACGTCACCTGAATGTATCAAGTAAGGGGGATGATCATACTAGATCCATCTTTATCCTTCAAGCATACAAATAGCCTTAGACAATGTATGATAATGCTGCACTTTGTAGTGAAGACACTTATGAGCATGCATTTTGTAGAGTGTATGCATTCAGTCAGGATGGCACCATGCAAGAAGGCATACACTTGCCCAAACGGTGGCTACCTCAAAGTGCAGGCTCGGTTGCTGGATGTTGGTGCACATGGGGACGGGTGCAAAGCTTGCGACGAAATGATTCTGAATTCTGGCTTCGACCGGACGAAGTTCGACGCTGTATTGCAAGCGGCAGAAAATGGAGAGCTTCCTCAGCCCATCCAGGGTGCCACCGAGCCTATCCAGGGTGTCACTGAGACCGCCAATGAGGATGAGCAGAAGGCTGTGAAGGAAGAGGATCTTGAGACTGAGAAGCCCGAGGGTCTCGTCGAGAATGGCGACCCCTTCGACATTGTCAGGCAGACCCCGTACATCAAGCTCCTTCCACCCGGTAGCCACGGCAAGCGTTTTCCATACCTATGTACGGTTTGCTGCACAAGATCTTGGCCACAGGGAAGAGTTGGAGAGCTGGCTGAAGCCAAGATTGGCTCAATCAAGCACTTTCTTCATCAGCACATCGACTCCAACACACACAAGCGGAATGTCAAACGCAAAGAGACGGGAGGACAGGAGATTGTTGCCCCACCAACACAAGAGTGTCAAGGAGTGAGTCTAGACGACGCTCGAAGTGCCCGTCACCTGCACTACATGCAGGGCGAGTTTGACCTTTGGTGCAGCATGGCCAACTTGAAGGACACAGCCAGACACAAATATTAGAAGAACGCCAATACAGGCGTTTGGAATTTGCGCGCTGCAAATTGTGAAGACAGCAGTGTGGCTGGTCCAGTTTGCCCGAAATGCCTGCAATTGGGGCAGGCCCACGGGGTGACTCGCTCTGTTATGAGGTTCATGAAGAAGTATTTGCTAGCCAAGCTGCTGAGTGCTAGACTTTTTGGAGGGCGTCCAGCAGTGGAAGAGGTCATGGCTGAAATCAAGGGCTCCTATGTGTATGAGACTGACTCCAAGAACTATGACACTTTGATGAAGCTCGACAACACGAAGTTGCAGCAGGTAGTCAGGCTTGGATGGTGTTCGTCCTCCTTGGATCCCTCTGAAAGCTGTGATTCTTTTGTAGCTGCTGTAGTGAAACCAGCTCTTCGGGTCAACTGCTTTGGCGTCTCGGATGGGCTTGCAGATGTGATTGGTCGCTGTACAGCGTTGATTTGTTCAGGCCAAGCACCAGAATCAGACATTGCAAGCTTAAAGCTTGCAGCAGCTGCGATGCGAGGAAGGCTTCAGGAGCACCCATTGCTCCAAGGCCTTGCGCTGCAAACTTTCAGACTTCTGGACAAACAACAAAGAGGAATCACGACGATGGCTGGCCGTCGAAGCAACGAGACGGAGACAGAGTCTGCCCTTATTCGGGATGCAGGTCAGACCTTGGCCATTGCTTGTTGCAACCCTGGTTTGGCGAGGCAATTCGGAGTCAGCTTGGCCTCCGCCTCCACGTGCCTAGACCAGTTGCTGTCCAATAGCATCCCAGCTCCAGCGCTGGCACTTCTTTGGCCAAAGATCCTCGAAGAGAACTTTCTCCTGGTCGACCAGAGGTACCCTCGCGTGAAGCCAAATGCAAAGTGCTACCCGGCTTATGTCATTATGCGCACTGTGTGGATCCATCATGATCAATCATTTTGTAGTGCACCAATGTGTAAACCATTCATTTTGTAGTGCGTACAATTTGTGAAACGGCAATTTTGTAGTGAATTATATACATACATGCATGTACAAATATTGGCTTGTTACATGGATATATTAGAGACCAGGGAGGGTTATTAGTTTGCATTTTGTAGGGCGTATGGAGATTGGCTGCACCATTTTGTAGCATCGTATTTCCTGAGGCAGAATGATGTTTGCCTTCGATGGGACGTATTTGGAGCCTCGCCTCAGCCAGATAGCTTTGCATTCGAAGCGGGGCCTGGTTGGAGGAATGTGGAAGACTGGTGCTGAAGCAACCTGCTTTCTGGATCTTGAGGACGATGGCATAGACATCGCAGGGGTCCCAAAGTCTAGCAATATGCTGGAATGCTTAGTTTGGGACCCCTCAGCAAGGCAAAAGAATTGTCTGTCAGTATGTTCACTTCCCGTTGAACACAACTTTCGATCAGTTCAAGGAACCTTCAGGTCTAACTGGTACGTATTGGACACGATCGGCCACATCCTTGACAAGGCGAACGGCACCGTGCGTGGCATCATCTTCGACGCCCACGTATCACATCAACATCTCCGCAGGGTGCTCCACGGCCAACTGGAAGAGGTCGACAAAGGCGAATTGCAAAGTGTACCGTTTTTTTCGAGTCTCACCTACTTGGATTTGCCGCCAAACCCCTTGCCCAGATTGCCCATCCGGTTAGCAACTATGCCTGACGGGGAGGTTGTGTGGGGGCTTCCAGGAGTTTGTGTCTTGGTGATGAGCGCACTTTTTGTTTGAGTTGGTTCATTCTAATGCGCTGGGCCTTAAGTGTCACTGGAAAAGAGCATGACAAGAACATGTTGTAGTGAAATGTTTGTTGGTATAGTCATTTTGTAGTAATCTATTTTTTCAGCAGTGCAAATAGATTCCAGACACGGGCTGTTTGAATACTCAACTGGGGTCTACTGGCCCCCACATGCCCCCCGTAGCCGAGTCATTTTCTAGACTTAGGGACGGAGTCCACTGATTTTGTAGTGCCCAAGTCCCAGTATGTTTTACATCGTTTTACTACAAAATACATTGGCCAACAACTCATTGGCCTACAACTGTGTTGTTTGTTTTCAGCTATCTGCCCTGTGACTTGTCAAGGTCACGCAAACAAGGCCAGTGGCGGCCAATTGTGCTCCTGTTTGCGAACCATCATGTTTGGCGACCTGTGGTGCGACACCACCGGCCTTCGTTCCAACGGACTTCCACCGCAAGCGTACAGCCGGGATATGCCGATGAGTGACAAGATGCAAAGCATGCTGATGAACCCGTTCTACCTTCCGGATTCCGTTGAACTGTGGCTTCAGTCCAGTAGCTTTAAACATATTGGTTTTGGATTCTACAAACTGCATGTGCAACGGTGGACACTGATAGTTTGCTTTTGTGACATGTGTCCATAATTCCACTACAAAATGACAGTTTTAGTATGTTTTAGTATACTTTAGTGATATTGATCTACAGTAAACTGTGCTCTGAGGATGGAGACTTGGCCTCTTTGCCTATTCCATGGAGCTTGCTTGGGACAACCGTTTTCAACACGGTCACTGCCCTGTGCCTCGCACCCATTGCACATCGAGAACTCAAAATGGCTGAGAGGGCTGAGATTGCTCTCAGTGGATTCCTGGCGATGGACCTCTTTAAACTAGTCAGTGACAAGAAGTGTCGAGAGATGCAGTTGCCTGCTGGCAGCTGTTGGTTTGCAGGACAGACCATGCAAAACCTTCAGAGCGTTGCGCTATCAGCTGTTGCTCTCACACTATCCAAGCCAGAGTGGATGAATGTCTTCGAGCATGGAACTTTGCGGCTTTCGGAAGTTTCAATTGAACAACATTTTGGGCATCTCCGCTCGCAAGCAAAGAACGCACTACTCACAGCCAGGTCCTACTTTGTGGCCAACGCCAGACAGAGTATGAGGACGAGTGATCGCATGAACAAAATGAAGCCGCCAAAGCCACCAAAGGCCGAGCTTGTGGAAGATCCTTTGAGTGATGAACAGCCGCTCAGCTATTAATAACCACTGGCAGTCTCATTTTGTAGTGAATGATTTTTTAATATTTAATTTTGTAGTGCTTTTTAAATACTTTATGCTTATTATATTCCATGATGGGCAACTGTTTTGTGGGCACCCTTGGATTGTCATTTTGTAGTTAGATATTTGCAAGATGAATGGTTGCGTCATGCTGGGATTGTTCTTGTGAGGTTTCGGATCTGCTGTGAGCGTGCTCTCTCATCGACCCTGGCATTGGTATCAAAGTGCAGTGGCTTCAAAGAGGCAGAGCTCGAGAAAGCTTATCGGAGCAGTTGCGAGGAGGGAGGTTTCAAGCTCAGGTCTGACCTGAAACCCCCGGAAGAGGAGGATGAGGAGGCAGGAGATGAGCAAGCTGAGCCAGAGGATGAATGTTTCAGATTCATCCAGGGACTGCGTCAGGAGTCTGCCATCTTGAGTGAAGAGAGTCAGCCAGCGGTAGACTTAGACATGGATTCCGAATGCGCAGTACCGGATGAATTGAAAGGTATGCCTGATCAGGAGCAGATGGAGAATTTGCTCGACAAGCCAAGCGTGATGGACCCCTTCAGGACAGAGCAAAGCGTGTCGCCAAGGCATCGGGTTCGTGGCAAAGAGGAGCTGCCTACTACGCTGACCGATGCAATGTCCATGAAAGGTTGCATGTTCAACGCCCTCTTCCGGTTGAGTGTCCGTCTTCGTAGCAGCAGAGGAGGTCTGGACACCGGATTCATAGCCAATGCGCGCAACGCGCGCAAAGCATCAAGATCTCTCAACTGGCATCAGCGCCCAGGAAATAACAAAGATATGCAAAGATGTTGCTTTCATTTTGTAGAGTTTGTTCACATGCTCCTGCAATTTGTAGAGGTGCATTCTGTGAATCCACCTGGTGTTTCTTTATTGATGGGTATTAGAATACTAATGAACTTACATTTTGTAGGGACTGGATACTAAATGATTCACAGGCATCGATCAAACATTTGTTTTGGCTGAATCAGGTATAATGAAAGGAAAATCGCAGAGATTCTGGCAGAACGAGATGAGCCTTTGTACAGAAGCCGCACTGGGCGACTTGACAAGTGGAAGGAGATGATGCGGAAAGCTCAGGAAGAACTTCAGTTGCCAGTCGGTGCACCAGAGAGCTTGGCGTGCCTTGTTTGAACATTTTGCAGGTTAGTTTTCAATGAGGTTTTTTTGGAAGAACCTGATGCAGTGGCATTTGACATTTGTAGGGACATTGCATGCTTGTTTGCATTTTGTAGGGATGTGTGGATTTCTCAGACCATCGCAAGGCCTGGAAACATTGTGATGTTCCATACTCCAGCGAAGAAGTCAAGCGTGGAACTTGGACTTGTCACGAGTGTATGGAAAGGAGTGAAGGCCCCAAAGCTGCACAGTGCACCGACACCTATCAACAATGCTGTTGCTTTTCGAGCCTTGCAGCTGACCGCTCAAAGTCCAGATGAGGCGGGGGCTTTTACATAGGTTTGGTAGTCATAGGCTAATTTTGTGGAGAAGAGCCTATAGAATACTTTTGAATGCTTTTGACGCTACAGAATGACCGTTGTTGCCAGGAAGAACCAATTGAGTGGTGCTGCAAGTTCAACTCCACTGCGTGGGTGGCCAGGAGAGTCATCGGTCATGCCAGATACGGTAAATTCTGTTTGTAGAGGCAGATGTGAGGACGGTTCATTTTGTAATGGACATTTTCGGGCTTTTGAGATGCTGGTTTCCTTGGTAATTACAATTTGTAGTGGATGGAGAGCAAAGGACAGAGAGCTTGATTTCTATTCTCGACTGCGAATATTGTGCCTTGGCTCCATTCTCACCCTGTATATCGCATTATTCCTTTCCTTCCTTGCTATTTTTTCTTGTTTGTGTCTATTTTTGTTCTTTGCATTCGGTGTTGTGTCTAAATATATATATATAAACATATATAAACTTATATTCTTTGCAGGCGGGTATCCACTGAACAACATGGGCAATGTACGCTTGAAGATCAGCCCGGAGAGTGCAAGAGCGGTCAAGCTGATCCCAAAGATTGAGAGCTGGAACATCCCCCCAACCATGACACGTGGTTCTGGTCGTGCAGCCGGAGCAGTAGGTGGCGGGACTGGGGCAGGGGACCAGGCCAAAGCAAAGGCTACCAAAACCAAGAAGTTCGTCCGTCGCGGAAGGAAGAAGAACAAGAAAGCTCATGGCAAGTCCAAAGAGTCCGACTCCAAGCCGTCGCAGTCTGAGAAAGCATCCACCGGCAAGATTGGTTTGAAAAGGAAGGTGAAGGATTTGGTTCAGCAGAAGAAGGGGGAGTGTTTGATGGTTGACATCCCCACGTCCAAGGACTATCGCAGAACCAAGAAAGGTTTTCAGGTGATGCGGCATGTCATTACGGAGCTGTACGAGCCAGACAAGAAGGCTTTTCCAATGTCACCAGCCTTTGATGACAAGGGCTTTTGCCGCCTCCGGAATGAAGCTTGTCAGAACACCACGTGGGAGCAGATTCGTTCGGTTACACCGGACGCATTGGATGCTTTGCACCTGGTCCTATCATGTTGTAGTGTGATGAATATATATTTGTATATATTTGTTTATGGTTCTGTCATTTTGTAGAGACCGACCTTGTTGTTGAATCATTTTGTAGTGTTAGTGTGCTGCATATATATATATATATTTGTTTGTTTATGGATCTGTCATTTTGCAGAGACACACCTTGTTGATTCATTTTGTAGTGTGTTGTATTTAGGGTGAGAGTGTCATGGGCCTATCCCTGGCAATTTGTAGGGCACCTACCTGGGAATATATATATATATATATGAATATATCATTTTGTAGTTTTAGGGATGTACAGGGGTAGTCTTGCAAGGTACAAGCAAATGCAATCTCCTGATTCCTTTGGTCGTGCCGTTGCCAAGCAGATGGATACCATCCGGGCGCAGCTCCAACGAGAGACTCCTGTTCGGCAAGGATTCTTGAAGCTTGTGAAGGACATCGCGGAGTATTTCATTGCCATTGAGAAGTCGGGCAAGAAGCAGTGAGCGAAGAAGATGTTGGCGCCACTGAGAGAATCGCAAAGAATTGCTCGGGGCAGTTTGATTCCAATGGAATCACCCTGGGGTGCCCAGGAGCGGTGAAGAAGGGCTTGTGGATATGTCGGATATATGTATTCGAAATTTGTTATGTGTGATACTTTTCATAGCTTTTCAATGTTTTTCATCTTATTTTATCTTTGTTTCTTTCTATTATGTTTCCTACAATGAAGCTGATTGTGAGTATTAGCTTCCATAGTGTAGAATAGTATTTTCTAAAGAGTTGCAAGTTCTTCAAGATTTGCCAAGCAGCCCAAAAAGGGCGCCAGATCGACGAATAGAGTCGACGACCATTAGAACAAACGCAGAGCATCAGATAGCAAGGGAGAAAAATGGCGTGGATGTGACAGTGGACAGAAGCATTTTGTAGTGGACAGATGTTCACTGTCTTAAAAAAACAGATTGGCTGGGTTTGCCAATTTGTAGTCAGCAGTGCTGCTGGTCTGTCATTGGCCTTGCTTGACTGGCAGGTTGATTTTGTAGTGTGTTTATTCTAACTGTTTGATGGTTGTTGCACTTAATGCGGGTCATTGTGGCTGGAACGTTTTGTAGCACTGGAACTTGTGGACCTGCATTTTGTAAGGAGGCTTATACCTAGGCGTTGTCATTTTGTAGAGTTTCAGGGTGAGCTGCACTACAAACTGAGCGTACCCAACGTCAAGGGGAAATTCTAACGGGGATCCCCCACCCATTTGGGGAGGGGTATGGACCTTCCTGACCAAAAGGATGTAGACGGATGACTCATTTAGCGAGCCCGGCCACGTCGGATCTATTGACGAGGTCCGAGGGACCAATCAGATGCGAAGCGAGCACTCAGAAGCAAGAGAACCCCAAAGGATCCGACAGGGGTAATCACATGATACATCGTCACAATGATCATGATGCCAAAACACTGGATTCATTTGGACACACCCTAGAAAGAAGATGAAAGAAGTCACAGTCCCCTGTAAACCGTGATAACCCCCCGAGCTCCTGGCGTCTCTCGCTCCGCAGGTGTCGACTCGGTGGAGGTGACCCTGGGGGCGGTGACCATCTTCGAGTGCCGCGTGCCTTCGCCGGCCGCCAAGGGAATTCGGATGAATTCGGGGGCTGGGAGGGTTCCTGTGAATTCGCAGCAGACGGAGGAAACGCGCGAGAATTCGGACAATAGCGGCTTCCGTCTGCGACGGTTCCATGGTCACTGGATGCGATACATAGTCATCATGTCTTCAGATCCGCTGCACGGCCATCTGTTGGAGCGTGAGGTGGGCAGTTTCGCTTGCTGTTGGAGCGTGTGGCCTGTGGGGCATTGATGAGCATTGCCTAGTTCATTAGCATCCACTAGCTGAAAAGGAGTTTGTTTCTAAAGAAGCTAATAATGATCTTACCCCATCATCAGTCACGTGGAGTAAGTACCCCCCCAAGCAGGATGGTTTCTTCATAGAACCTTCCTTTGAGAGCATGGGGGCCCCCACCTCATGTTGATAGCTGTCACCAGCATGGGGGTTAGAACAACTTGGAGCTCAGGACCGCTACTCGCCGCCGGCGCCCGACTACGTGGCCTGCCGGGAGGTTGGCCCAGTGCCGCCGTTCCCCTGCGAAACGGTGGGCTGCACGGCTGAAACTTGGAAAGCAAGAGTCTTCCAAAGATTGAAGAACCCGACTGTTCGACTATCCCATAGGTACCCAGTAGTTCTGGTCCTTTTTCAGGTCACTGGTTGGGCTCAAGAGCATCAGACAATTCCACAGGATTTGACTCCATTGAGGCAACTTGACTCGGATCCTGAAGAGTAACAGCCTCCAGATCGCGCCCGACAGTGTCGAAACCCAACCACCTACAATCACCTACCCAGGAAAAGTGGATCAATGATGATCAATGTGGATCACCTGCAGGTGATACCAATTCTATCCAATTCTTCCATTTTTTGAGGTTCACCATCTACAATCACCATCACCTTGTGGTTCACCATGTCTTTTGTTGGGGAATGGTCCCACTCAAAAGCCCCATGTCTTCGTTTTTTTCACGCGGAACTCACGCGGGTTCCGCGTCGTTCTCGGTGACCGGACCTCGAAGGACCCGAGAGTCGTGGGAGCTGGAGGGTCTTCTGCGGTGGGCTGGTGGTTTTCATCACCTGAGGATGGCAGGTTTTCTTGACCTACCAAACAGAGGTTAAGTGACCTGAACTAGGACCCTACCAGGGTACCGAACTGGGATAGCCGAACTAGGGTTCTTCAACCTCTGTTGGTAGTCTCCCTGAAACTCACATGGTGACGTGAAGTTCACCCCCCCGTGTTGGTGGAGGATTTCATGGTTCAAGTGGCCATGACATCCGCTTCCATGTTTCCTTCCGGGGAGTGTATGTGAGTTCTAAGGTGTTCCAAGATTTTCCACTTTGGCTCGCTGCTAGCTGGGCCTGTTGCATTTTGACCATTCATCAGCTGCAAGGCTCACCTGAGATCTCAGGCTCTGTGTCGTTTCCGCAGCCACTTAGGCTTGAGATTTTGGGCGATCAGCATCTCACTGCGCACCTTTGTGATGGCAAAACAACTTTTCATCACAACGCTTGCCGTCACAGCAAACACCTGAGGCGGTCCCTTGGTCGCCGTCCCACGGTCACCCGGTCACCACCCGGTCACCACACGGTAGAGAGACCCACGGTCCACCGGTCAGAGCCCGTTCCGTTCCGAAGCGATTCCGGTGTTCCGGAGACCGGAGAGGCGGTCGAGACCGGAGACCTGAGACCCGGAGACCTGAGACCTGAGACTCCATTTTTGGGCCATGGCCTTTGGACCGAAGGCCGGCTTTATCCTGAGCCTGGGCGATGGAAGGGGGACATGGGGGAGGACGACTGTTCGTGGCGGCATGGGTGGTGGCGCCGTCGAAAAGCGGCTTGATGCCTTTTTGGGTTTTGGTGTCCCGATTTGCAGGCTGTTGATGACCCCCCCCAAATATACAGGATATTACGAAGAGGTTTTTCGACTCAATCCAAATGGGGGTTTTACTAACCAAGAGTCTACATGGTCGTGAAATCACCTTCCTCCGCATGTTTCGGATGCTTCGTCCTTGCTGGTTTATACAGGAGCAGAGGATTTTCTATTATGAATTGGTGCTGCTCCTGCTGTTTGGGGTCTGTATTATCCTAGATTCCTAGATGATCTATGATTGTCTATGGATACTTTGTGGCTGCTATGGTGTTTGCCACCAGAATCCAAGAACCACCACTTTGAAGTTTTATTTTTGGGGGAGAGACACTTGGACTGGACTGGATCCATTTGCTTCTGTGAGCGTTTATATGTCTATATATATATATATAAATCATATATAATATACATACAGTCGATTTGCTTTAGTTGGGGAGAGACCCTCCCACCAAGCAGAACTGTCTCTTGTGGCTCTTGCCTTATTTCAGGGAACCAACCTCAGCGTTGACCCGAATTTGGAGCCCCTCTTACGTCCGCTCGCGGGGGGGTGGTCGCCGGGCCGACGCCCTGTCGTGTTCTTCCCGTGCGCGCGAAACAGAAAAGGTGCCTGGTGCTGATCACGGTGTGGCTGAGCTATTCGCTGAATGGCCTCATCGAAAGGTGGAACCCCAGCCCGCGGCTGACCTGGGGCTTGGTCTCCCGAGGAGATCTGGCAGTCATCAAAAACCGATGAGGTCCGGGAGATTGGAAAACCTGTTCTGGCATGGGCAACAGCATCAGAGAAGCCGCCCACGAGGCTTGTTCCGGGAAAACTCATGAAAAAGGCCCTGGACAATGTAGGTTTGATATATATAATTATATATATATATAGATAGATATATATATATATATATGTATAGTTTGATGGTTCCATGTGATCAACACAGGGGACCGGCACGGCACTACACCCTGGAAGACTAACATGGACTCTGAAAACCATTGGTTGGTAGAGGAAAACACCCTTCCAGGGGGGCCATTGTTAGGGTCTATGTTAGTTTTCGGGAGTGTAGGTATATCTAATGTTTCCAAGATTCATCCAAGCAACTAAACACACTCTTCGCGTGTCTTTACACTTTTCGATCACTTTGGTCCGGCAGCCACAATTTTGGGAATCAGATCCAGCCAGACAACATCGTCACTCCGGTTGTCGGGTCGGAATAGGACACACCGTTATACTGTGATATGCCCAAGAATCCGAGTGATTTTCAATGCATAAACATGCTTGTCGATTGGGTCCCCGTTCCCATCTCTTCAGGGATCTTCTCCCTATATAACCCCGCTGGACCAGCTTCGGCCGACTTCTTCTCGAAGCTCCTACGGCTCGGGCACTCTTTCTTCGCCCCGTGTGCCCCGTGTGTCCCGCGCCGACCTCGACACACCCCTTCCGACCTCGCACCTCTCACCATTCCTCCACACCGGGGCGCCGGTGAGGATTTGGCTTGGTCTACATCATCGTCTTGGGCTCCTTCCACCCGCAGGTGGTGCCCCTCTGTGGGCGCCGCGGGGTGACGCCCGTGGCCCAGCTGCTGCAGCAAGCGCAGAAGGAGCCGAGCGCTCGACGACAGGTCGAAGATCGTAAAGATGAGGGTAGTCGAGGGGTCGAAAGGTCTTGGTGGGCTATGAGCTAAGATATTTATGATTTACAGTGTGACAGATCTATTTGACTCTCAAAAACCGATCGAGGTCCTTGCGAAAGAATTTGGTGGGCTATCACTCATCATGGAGACATTTTCAGCCGGATTTATACAGCTCGGCACTGTCGTCACGGCGGAATTCTTTGCCCTAGTCCAGGTGAGGGGGACCAGGCCAGGTATGCCAGCAGGCCAGGTATGCTTACCATGCAGTAGTACTATAAGTTTCTCATTCTTTGTCCATTTGGTAGCTCAACAGTAGAAGGAGGCCTTGAATGTCCCGCGCAGCGTCTCAACGCACAGCTTGAAACAACTTGAGGGGTGCCGAACGGAGCATCGGAGCACCCGCGCCCTGAAAGCATCTAGCTTGTGTCCGTCGCAAAGCTCTATTTCGTGTATTCGACGTATTCACAACTTCAGGTTTTAGCAGGTCCGGAGAGGTGGGAGATGTGCTTGTCCGGAGAGGTGGGCGACAGCGAGGCTTGCGACAGAGGGGCGACAGACCTGGGCTCCGCTGGTCCGGTTTAACAGAGGAGTGTTGAATGGGAGGCTTGATACAAGGGGAGAAGTGAAGAGTTCTTGGTAATGAGGGCGTTAAGAAGAGAGAGGTGCTTCTTCGAAAGCACATGAGATAGATATGTTTGAGAATGAGAAGGTTCGAAAGCAAGGACCGAAGTTCGGTGCGTCTTAGGAAACAGAGGAGTGTTTGACCATGATATCTTTTTTGCGTCGAGGCGAGAAGAGAGCAGGAGGTCAACTCAAGAGAGAGTCATTTTTCCTGAGAGCAGATTGTTCAGAAGAAGGAGAGGTTTGGCTGCGAAGGGAGAGACCATGTGCCAGTCTGCCAGAGACAGAGGATTGTTTAAGGACCTTTTGGGGCAGGGAGGTACTTCTCTGGACGAATTGACAGTTCTTGGCCTGCTATGAATAGACATCTCCAAACCCTCGACCAAATTGCCAGCTATGCGTCGCGAAGGCCGTGTGCTTTTCCCCCGTGCGTTTCGATCATTTCCAGAGTTGTATCGCTGTGCTTCGAAACCTTTAAAGTTTAAATCAGTAAAATACACGTGCGTTAATCTATTTATGTGCATACATATATATATAGTTCTATATATTTACACACCTACAATAGATCGATGGATAGTTAGTTAGTTAGTGAGTTAGTTAGTTAGTTAGTTAGTCAGTGAGTTAGTTAGTTAGTTAGTTAGTCGACAGCATGGTGCGGGATCATGGGATCTATGCTTGTGGCCAGGACTACCCCGGCTTCAAGAAGCTGCTATACTTCCCGTGCCTCGGCGATCGGAGTGAGACAAATACCCGAACGCCGACCAGCCGGAGCCGAATCTCCCAAGTCTTCGTTCACCAGGTGAGCCGTTTCGCGACTTCAGCCTGGCCACCTCCATCCCCCCAGCCCTGGCCACATCCATCTCCCGGTGGGACATGTCCGGCACTCCCGTCGTTGGGCGACGCAGAAGAGCCGCTTCGGTCGCAGCTGGGAGGACTTGGCTCTGGTTGGATGCCAGCGACACGGCGTTGCGGTTGACCACGCTGAGTGGTGGGGGGAGCTTAGCACATCGGTGGTCGGGATGAGCATGTGGGCTGTGTGAAGGCGATGGGCCTTAGGGCGATCTCACGAGATTTTAGATGGATGGCATGCACCTGGAACCCTCCCCCAAACAACCTCCATCCCCACGCAGTTTTGGTCGGCATCTGAGGCATCCTTGGTGGTGTGCTGGGCATCTATGGCGGCACGGTGGGGTGGTGGGGCCTGGTGCTGGCGCGCTTGGCCTTGCAGTCGGTGGCCGTCACAGGAACCGCAGGGAACCGATGCCTCTCTCGTTGGGTGCCCAGTCTATGCTGGGGCCGTGGACCGTGGAGCTTCTTACCCGAAGGGCACAGGTCTTTCTTGGTTTGTTTTTTGGGCGATGCGTGGATTTTTCTTGATATTCCACACACATTGCCAAGGTTGGACCCATGGTGAGATGAACTGAACAAAAATCCTATGGCCAATTTCGGTCAGTATGGCTTGATCAGACCATATCCCTTCAACTTGGGAAGTGGGTCCCAACCCTGACTCCTCAGTCACCTAATGGATCAGACACACGCGCAGATGTATACATGTATACTGTATATATATATATATATGTCAATCAAATTTTTGTTGGCGCAAGGACGTGAATCTAAAGTGAGTCTCCTGACATCACGAGAACACCAGGAGAGTTCTGGTTCGTTTGGGACTACATGGTCTTTGAGGCGCCGCTGGCCGCTTGCGGTGAAGAAAATCGAGGCCCAAGGCCCATGTTCAAACCAAGCCAATTTCACCATTTCTCACCCAGATTCTATCAACTGACCGATGTGGCCTCGACACGGAATGGGAGGCCGGTGCCTTGGTCCTGCTGCTGCCTGAGACCTTACCCTTGAGCACGGGGAGTCTGGGCGCTTCAAACCTGCCCGTGCCCTGTGTGGCACTGGCGTGGCAGGCCCTTGCCATCCGCCTCATGCACCACGGCTGATGGTTGGGGACCGGAGGACGGACCGGTGCGCGACCTGACTTTGTTTTCGTGCAGGTTTGGCACAATGGGTTTCAAGTGCAGGTCGTGAGGGTGCATCAACTCAACTGCCAAGTGAGTCACAGTGTGTATGTCAGCTTGACTCGCTTGCTCTCTTTGAAACAAACATGGTTCAGTGGGTGAGCGCATTGCCTCGATGGGCCAGCCCCTGATGTTCGCACGCTGCATGTACCTCTTCCCGCCAAAATCGCTGGACCAAGTCTGAAATCGATCGGGCGCCCCATGCGAAGTTTCTTGCTCCTTTCCCCCTTGAAAGTTCAGGCTCAACTGACGGGTGCTTAGCAAGGAAGGGAGTGGATCCTAAGGAGATCTCCATTGAATGGGAGGTCGGTCATTCCCTCATTCGCTAGGATTGTTGACAGCTGAGGCACGTCATCTAAAAACCTTAACATTCATTCCCTCCACCGCGGGCGACACGTCCGGCGGAAGTCGCCGTCGCCGAGAGATGGGGAGGAAGCCGGTTCCTGTGAGGGCAAACGCTGACCACCGGCGACCAGTAGGCTTACGGAAGGCGGCCTTCTTTTCAATGGATTGGTTTTGCAGGGGACATCTGCGGGAAACCATGGTTTTACACTCCCAAAACGATGGGTTTCCCAAATAGATAGAAATGAAATGATTATAGTTGTGTAGAGCTTGGGCAGGCTGGGGGGGCCACTATAGATTTGCCCTACCAACCCAGTAGTCGTTGCCGGGATCTTTGTTCTTCGTCGAACGGTGGCTGCGAAGGTTGGGCTTCGCCAAGACCAAGTTCAGTGAATCTGATGTGGCCAAGGAGTGCGAGTTCCAACTCGCCGTGGTGAATTGTTCCAGCGAGTTCGGTGACGCGGTTCCTATCGTTTTCGGTGAAATGCCTCGTTCGGTGACGGGTGGCTGCGGTCCAAAGCAGGCCACACCGGGTACCAATAGGACCTGCACGGTTCCGGTGACAGACGTGTGAACAACTGCATCCCTATGGCCCTATGGTCATGTTCTGATTTCGTCACATGGGCGTGGGGTTCAAAAAGACTTCATGACGACATATGACGACTCCCTATCCCCAAGGTTCAAGGACAGGTGAAGTTTGTCTTAGCAGGACAACCTCTTCCTTCAAGGCTTCTTCATTTGGCAACTCCTTCCAAACCACTTGGCCTGGCAGCCCGTCTGACATGTGTGCCTGCAGGGGGGGAAGACAAGGAGGTGGCAAGTGAGCACTAAAGCGACCCTGGTAGAACATCATTTTGACCAACCAAATTTAGATCTATGTTCCAATACCTCTGAATAAAAACAAGAGGATCAACATGTGTTCCAATGCCCCCTACCCAATTTTGTAGGCGGCTTCTTGGCACCTAGAGATGGACGGACGTTGCACCAAGAAGCCAACGTCCGTCTCATGTTTCCAACGGGGCGATGCAGGGTATGAAGCCAACTCTCTCCGAAGCTGACAGCTCCCTGTCTCCTCCCGGCCTGTCATTCTCTTAGCATCAAAACGTCGTATCTCTTGATGCACATGGGTTTGGGAGCCAGAAGGCCTCCCTTCTTCGCTGTTTGGGTCTTTGCATCTTGGCATCACTGGTTGTGTCCAGCGGTGCCGAAAGCCTCCGGGTTCAAAAACAGCAGGAAGATGGCCGCTGGACCTGGGATTTTCCCTCTTCCTATGGGTTGACCTTGGTTTGGACAGAATAAGACTACGTGCGGCACATGCTTTTGGTCCAGGTTGCGGCCCAGGACCCCTAAGGCCAGCCGACCCGGACTCGAAACGGGCAAAACCCGTCTCGCCAGCGATTGAGGTTTCTGCATCACGCGCCCCTCTGGTTGCTGCGCGCGTCTTATGGCTTCATGCTCTATGTGGAGGCGATCTTGCCCTTTTGCTGCTTCCTCTCGGGCGCTCCGCGCTTTGTGGGCGCGTGGGGTCTCATCATCCTCATGCTGGGGATCTTCATGACGGGGAACTGGGGGCAGTTTAATCTCGGTCTCTTGGCTGCAGACCGGGGATCGGGCAAGGGGCAGGGCCTTTGTGCACCATGGGTGTGATAGGGTTTTGGGAAATATGGATTCCGGACCTATGTATGTTTGATATGGTATGCAATTGTATGTACCTAGACCTAGACCTTGATGCGAGATTCTACACCAACTCGGATGGACGGAAAGGGAGGTTGTGCCCTTGGCAACCATGTTTTTTGGGCAGGATGCAGCTCCAAGCGATTTGGTATTTATCGAATCTCTGATGTCGCAGCACCTGGACCAGGCGATAAAGCCTTTCCCCCCCACCATATTCTCTGGATTTCGCATCCACCTGTGACAACACTCCGCACGATTTCCGCACCTTTTCCGCACGATTTCGGTGAGAGACGCTCGTTGTCAGGCTACATCATCGTTTGCGTGGGGCTCTTGGATTTGAACATCTCTTGGTCCATGTTCTTCGCGCAGAGTTGGCTCTTGCCACCCCTGATGGCAGTGCTTCGGTGAAGACTGGTAGGGGTTTGGGCCAACAAGGCGCCAATGAAGCACGGGAGAAGTTCACGTATGGAGTATGAACCAATCCAAAAGGATGACCAGTTTCTGATTCTTGTCTCGGGGGCGCCGCCTGCCATCTAACAGGCCTCCCTGACCCTGCGGGGCCTCCTCAACTAACAAAGCCATTTTCCCTTGGTTCTATCTACTCCCGGAATATGTATCTCAGACTCAGCTGGAAGACACAAGCTGCCCGGAATCAGTCAACTTGGAGAGGACGTTATTCCTCATCCCACATGTCGTTCACGTACTTTCAGGTGGCGGGTTGCCGTCAACCACTTGGCAACAGGCATGTGTGGGACACAACATGCAACTACCTACCCTTGAGACACTTCCCTTAGCCTTGGTAACAGCCAACAACCGCGGGGCAGAAATGGGCAGAAAGGGTAGTCAAGACTGCACCTGGATCCGTGCTATGTGAGGGACATTGATGGTTAACTTCGTCGCACATCAGACATCTTCATCTTCAGACATGTTCAGGCCACCCCACATAAATTGCACGGGTCACGCACATGTTTGATCACAGATTTTCAGATATGTGTCAAACATGAGGTCTACCTCTTCATCGGCTTCATCTGCTTGTGCCTCTTCGACACTTGGACGAACACCGCCTGGGCCTGGTTCTCCTGGGAACTCCTTCCCATCTTCCAGCTGCACGGCTTGTCGCTGGGCGGCAGATCTCTAAGGGTTTCCGGAGGAGGAGGAGAAGGCGGAGGAGGAGGAGGAGGTCGGCAGACTGCTTCCGAAGATAACTGGGAGATATATGCTGGAAGTCTGGAGGCTGGTCACTCACCGAATGTCATTTGTATATGTATGATTATGTATGTCTATATATGTATATATGTATGTATGCATGTATGTACTAATGTAATGTAATGTAATGTAATGTAAGTATGTAAGTATGTACGTACGTACGTACGTAGGTACGTAGGTACGTAGGTACGTAGGTAGGTAGGTAGGTATGTATGTATGTATGTATGTATGCATGCATGCATGCATGTATGTATGTATGTATGTATGTATGTGTGGATGATAGCAAAACCACAGAGGGACTCTTTAGTCCTTCTTCATTCGACCTTCTCACAGCATGGTTTGTCCCTCACTCAGACTCGCATTGGAAGGACACCTTCAAGAAGGGGCCCCTCATATTCAAAGGAGGGCCAGACTTGCCCATGTGGTGTACGACAGTTCTTTTGTGTTCCAACAACTTTTCCCAGTAAGCTGGCTGCCGGCGATGTTTGCGGAGCTTTGGGGTCGATGGAGACCCCAAACACTGTGGGAGAGACTGGAAGCAGGGCGCGCGCTGGCGTCCTGGAGAACCAGCACACGCTTTTCTTTTCGAGTTGTGTGTTGCTTTCATCGCCATAACAGTTGGTGACATTTTCCGAATCGAGTCGATGGACAAAGCATCCACGAGGGCCCCGTAAATCATGGACCATGACAGGTATGGGTCGAGAGTTGGTGGACTGTGGCGGACTTAGGTGGTGGGACTTGTACTGGTTGGGGTGTTAGTTGGGCTCACTTCAGTGTTGAGGTCATCTCTCCCTTTGAAGGTAGTGACATGTAATGTTATAATGTTCCTGCCTCCCAGTTGGCCCGGCTCAATCAGGGTCCGTCTCGGGGCTTTGGGCTTTGTGCTTTGGGTGTTCTTGAAGATCTTCCCGTTCTCAGATGCCCCCCATTTGGCGGCCCGACCCAGCTTGACCTTGGAGATCGTCAGGGAGCACCAGGTGGTATGAGATTATAGGACCAAGCGGTTTCAGTGGCTTTTTGAGGCGAAGCTCCACATCCATGCTCCATAGATATTGTTTGCCACGGAGACGAGGAAGTTCAGTGCACTGTTTTCGGGCGATGCCTGGCTTCGATGTTCCGGGTTCCCCGCCCGCTGTAGGTTGGGGCTGGTCCGCTTTGTGTCTCCCTGGCGGCTGATCAATGCTTATGGCGTCTTCCCACCCGAGGCACTCCCACAGGCCCCCGCTCTCGAGCCGAGCCTCGCCTCGCCGGGGGGGGGGGTGCGGGGTGCGGGATCGGCGGGTCGGCCCTGTCGGCCCTGTTCGGCGCTGGACTCAGCGACACGCACAACGAGCCCTTACGAGCCCTTACGAAGCTAGAAGAGTCACAGCAGCAGGCAGCCAGCCTATAGAAATGGGTAGGCGCCTACACGACCCACCTGGCCAAGGGCTCTCTTGTCGATGTTTCGATGTTTTAAACCAGATGACCGGCGTCAAATCCTCCGGTCTGGGGGAAACGGTCGGTGATGGGCCGGGGCATTTCTTTTTGCACCTTCTGTTGGGCCCTGAGTCAGGGTTTCAATCTTGAAATCTTGGGGTGACACCAGTTTCATTCTTGTTCCAACCATCCCACGCAGGCCTTCCCTTTATAACATGGATAAGCTCAGCCCAGGCAGAGATTCCACCGGCGTTTTCCATGTGGTTCCCATGCAGGTCCGAAGTACCGTGGTCTTCGAGGGCAGCTACGACGGCCCGGGGGCCCCAACTGCGGAAACCGCGCGGTCAACCGGTCGTTGGGAGGAGCGTGTGGCACACCGGCCGACGGGGCCCAAGCGATGCGCTTTGAGAACCCCGACGGCCTGGACGCTGTGAGACTTTGCCTTTGCCATGTCCTCGATCAGGTCAATGCCAATGCTATTTTTTCTTGGGGCAGTGCGATCACCATATGTAGACTATTGCATGCAAAATTCCCCACCACCTTCGGGGTCTGGCATTTCTTCTTCTCATCGTGTTGGTGTCTCGCTTTTTGGTCCGACTGATGTTCGATTGTCGGCTGATGGCGTTTGCCATTTCGCACGGGGGAACTCGCTGGTGTCTCGCTGTCCGTTTGGGCTCCAGATCGAAGCACCCCACGTAGTTTGGTTCAAAGAAGATGCCTTGCGACTGCCGCGAGATTTGCCATGTCTAACTCAAACCTGGCCTGCCCGGAGGCTGGGCTGTCGCTGTGGCGGTCCTGGCGGGTGGTGGGTGTTCTTCGTTCGGGTCTTTTGAAGTGGGGGTAGGGAACGAACGGGTGAGGCCCCCCCCATTGGATCCAGTCGGTTGGACCGGCAACAAACGCCATGGCAAGTGGCGACAAAGAGACCGGCGACTGGTTGAACCACCACGGTTAAATGGACCACGGAAACGACCAGCTTCCTCGACACCACGGGGCCCCTTTCGACTTCCCTTGTCCTATGCAGCAAACAAGCATCGCAGCATCCCCCTTAAGCAGGCTGCTCACGCGAATCGAGACCCCAGCAGCACCGACATTTTCTAGGTCTTGCGGTCTTTAGTCACACATGTGGGAATGAACATTCTGAAACATCCATGCAGAGATCCCAAAAGAAGGTGGTCAGTAGACACCTCGAAATGGGTGGGCGGCCCTGGAAGAGACTATAGTATGTATCCCACTGGGCCGGGGGGCGAATGTGAGCTCGCCATGTGTGGCTCCAACACACACACACACAGTCGCTTCCGCCGCCTTCTGCGGTTCCTTCGCGGGCTCCGCCAGGAGAAAGGTGTGGAGTCTCCCAGGAATTCCTTGTCCACGCAGCCGGGCCGCCTCTTCGGCGACGCGGCCGCCGGCGAGGCCGCGGCGGCCGCGTCCCGCAGCCGCCCAGTGCGAATGGGCGGGGGGGGGGGGGCCCGGGGGGCCGGGGGGGGGGGGCCCGGGAAGAGGGGGGACAACGAACCGCCGTTTTTGGGGGGGGGGTTGGGAGGGTCCAATGGAATCTGTTTCTTCGATCTAGATCGACCTACGAGTGTTGACTATGGTTTTCTAAATGGAGCAGAACTTGAAGACTTCAAAGGCTTGGTCCCGACCTGCGAGCCTCGGACCCTCTGGATTTCACAGACTCTCCCGGTTCTCTCGGGTTCTCTCGGTGCCCAGTCCTCCCGAGCACGGGGGGTCTTGGGATGCGGGGGGCATGCGGTTCGACTCCGAGCGCTCGGTTCGTTGGTCTAGGCCCTAGAGCAATGGAAGTGGCAAGGAGGGAGACATTGAAATCGCCAAGTCCGGTGCTCTTCAGTCCATTGGTGGTCGAAAGACCTCGCCCTCGACTTCGCCGGGATGCATCCCACACTTCTGGATTCGCACTGAGGAGGATGGGAACTGGAGTTGGGTGAGATGATTGAAGCGAAGCATCAGGCGGTGATGGAGAAGATTGACCAGCAGTGCAACTTATCATCCAGGACCAGTGGACGAATGAATGCATTTCCCGAAGGTTCAACCGTCATCGGAAGAATCATTGACATATTGCTATAGGGTCTGTCCCATTTACCCGTAACAGTCGGCAAACAATTATTATATCACTATTTAGAGAGAGGCCTTTACTAACCATCATCGTCCACTCTTCCTGGTAATTGGATAGGCCCAACCTATTGCTGTCATAGAGGTTTGGATACAATTGGATACTGTAGCAGGCTGGACCGTCGGGGGAACCGGCGCCAAGAAAGGATCGGCCAAAACTCTGCTGAAACGCCATGTTCGGATGTCCCTGGCAACTACTCATCTCATTGGACCTAACAAGTCCTAAGTCATTTGTCCCCAGTTTCTCGTGTCATTTGGGGAATTCCCCTCTGACTCCCCACGGCCGCTTTCACAGCTCGGAGTCGGCCTGGGGGCGGAATTGGCCCCGTGAAGCACCGGCCTGGGCCCAGGTCTGACAGCCAGTTCTGACGGCTTGTGACCCCACAAGCTCCACTCATCATGGAAGTGGATGGCCCCCCCTCTTCCGCAAGAGGGATGCACAGACACAGACAAGCACTCTTCCGATCCGGGGGCCGCGATCCGCTTCGTGTTCGATCCCTCCCATCCGTGAGATCTGGGGCGAGTTTCGAGCTCGCTCGGTTGGTTTAGCTGCTCAGTTGGTCTAGCTGCACGTTGAAAGAAAGAAGGATAGATGGATGGACAGATAGATAGATAGATAGATAGATAGAAGGAGACCAAAGGTAGCTTCAGCACGCTTCAGCTACCTGAGTTCATGGGGAAGCTTTAGTTGTGGGGCCTTGGGAAAGCTGGTTCTCGCACGAGACTAGGTCTCCGAGTGGAGATTCTTCATGATAAGGCCTCGCCTGGATCAAGTTACCCCTGGTCTAGGTCCATTGCTATTCGTATAACTATAATATACATTTGTGCATTCAGATCAGACCTTCGCTGTCGAATAGAATACTGTATAGTATATATATATATAACTATATATATATATACACATAAAATATATACATATATAGGTATACACATCATAATCTGAGCATGTTGGAGGTTCCTTTGGATCGAAACTTGTGAGGTCTAAAATCGTTGCGCCAAAGCACGGGGTCAAGCCCATGAAGAGGCGGCGACATCAACAGAATTATGTAGTTTTGAGATGAATCGGATCCAGTCGGTTTCAGAGGAGATGGCACACACCCCAAGATGTCTTTTAGAAGAGGGTTGGGGGCTCAGATGTGCCATTTACTCTCACTAAAATCTATGAGGGTCATTGAGCAAACATGTGCACTTACACCCGGGAAGAGGCCCACATGGAACGTGATGGCATGGACCAGACTGGAAGTCCATTTTCCCCTACAGGCCAGTGGTTTTCAGGTTCCATGTTAATCTTCTAGGGTGTACTAGCACCATAAACACCATTGGTCCCGCCTTCGCGAGCGGCGTTCGAAGCTGCGACGGATAGCCAGGGTGGCTTCTCTTTCTGGAAGAGAAGCCACCCTGATGGTTTGGTGACGCTTCGGCGACGTTTTAGTTTTTGAAGAGTTCTGCCAACTCTTCCAACTCAGGTAAGCTGCTGGAACTCTTCCTGAGCAGCCGAAGGCCCTCGCAGGGGCCCGGGGCTTTCAAGGACCCGGTTCGATCGCACCTTGCGGACCGACCGTGGACCTCTGGGGGAAGGAATCCTTCGAAGCACGGCCTCGTGGTTTCCAGGGACGAGATGGCTTGGGACCCTGGACATGGTCAACCAACAGCCGGATAGCCGGTCTGGTCAAGGAGATTTTGGTCTGGACAGACCACATTTGGTCTCCCTGGAGTTTGGTCATCGGCCGACCTCGGGGACGAGAGTTTGCGACCCCTTTTCAGGGTGGATCCGCGGACCGAATTCACGGCTCACGGGGTCACGTGACTGGTCTCTCGCGTTTTCGAGAGGGGTCCCAGAGGCCTTTCTCTGCTCGGTGCTGGTGGTGGTGGCCACAGCGAGAGACCCGGTGAAACCGAGGTCTTGGAGGTGAGACCCGGCTCCGTTGCGAACGACGCGTCGATTCCGTGACGGGAGTGGTTCGGTGATCGGTGCGACGGGACGACGTGACACGGGTCTGACCCTCTTGAGACGGTCTTAAACCGTCCATGGCGAATGGACCTCCTGAGTGCCAACTTGTGCAGCTTCCAGAAAGGGTCTTCAACTATACCAAAGAACGCCAGGAGTATTGGAGAAACCACATGGCCGACAGCTGGTCCACTTTCTTCCGCAACTGCTTTTGCATCTCCCGCAACTGGAGCGTCACCCTTCGGCCGTGGGGCGTCGTCCCCCTTGCTCTCTCCGTCAGGAGCTGATGGACAGCCGGACGCCCGCGACTAGCTCTAAGGACGCGAAGGGACGTCAAAGCGTTTCATGGTGAATGATGGCGGTCTTCGTCCTTCTGGTTTTTGGAGGTTGGAGCTATCAATGAACATGCAAAGGGTAATGAAGTTGATTTCACGATGGTACCGTGGGCCCAGTAGGGCAAGAAAAGCCACACGCGTTCTGTGTAAGTCAGTCATATGGATGTGGTGATCTCAGTAAATGGCTCGGTGATCGCCACATCATGGGTGAGTGCCGGGAACTGCTCATGGTGCGGGTCTCATTCCTTCTTTCGCCAATTGGCTGGTCTGAATGCTGGCCTCAATCCAGGCCATACAGTCCATTGTTACCGCACCGTGTTTCACACCCTCAGGACTCAGGCGACTCAGGACCCCAGAAAGTCACGTGTTCTCTTCACCGAACTGGTGCCACTCTGAGGTTCTGAGGCGTTGCCAAGCTGCTATATTGAGATACAGCAACGAGAGAGATGTTCCTCTTCGTTGTGGTGCCACCACCACCACCTCCTCTTCAGCTGCGTCCCCACGCAAAAGACATGCCACCTGAATCCCAACTACTGTAGTTGCTCCTGTTGGCTTTGAAGGGCCCGGCCCTTGGGACTGGTTGTTCCGCCAAAGCCATCAAAGCACTTGCTTGCTGAACGACGCACTCGCGCGCGGGAGGAGCTGACTGGAAGCCGAAGGCCTTCACAGTTCAGCAAGAATGGCATCGACTCCAAGGAGACGCCGACACGCGGTCTCCCCTGACAGAGAGCGGGATATGGCGACGTGAGACTCATGGGATTTGAGTCTCTCGCGGCGCCTGAAACAGAGGGTTGTGAACATGCGCCCTCTCACCAGGCAGGGTGACTGGCAATATGCTTGGGCTGTGTCACTTTTCCAAACAAACATGCTGGGCAGGCTCCCAGACTTTGCAAGGC